TTTTTTTTGTTATTTTTGGTAGAAGATGTAAAGTTTAGGTCAAGATTTGTTTATTTGCCTGTGGATGTCCAGTTGTTCCTGCACACTTCTTGAAAAGACTATCCTTCCTCCATTAAATTAGTTTTGCATCTTTGTCAAAAATTACTTGGGCATATTTGTGTAGGTCTATTTCTGGGTTCTCTGTTCAAGTTTCACTGATCTGTTTACCTATCTCTCCACCAATACCTGTAGCTATATATTAAGTTTTTAAATCAGGTAGAGTGATTCCTTCCACTTTGTCTTTTTCAGAATTGTTTCAGCTCTTCTAGTTCCTTTGCCTTTCAATATAAATTTTAGAATAATCTTGTGAAATTTTGATAGGAATTCCAATAAACCTATTCCTCAATTTGAGAAGAATTGATGTCTTTATTATGTTGAGTATTTCAATCTGAACACAATATACCAATCTGAACACAATGTATTTATTTAGATCATTGATTCTTTTCATCAGCATTGTGTAGTTTTTGGCACACAAATGTTATATGTTTTGTTACATTTATACCTAAGTATTTCATTTTTTTGAGTGATTGTAAGTCACACTGTATTTTTAATTTTGATGTTCGTTACTGGCATATAGAAATACAGTTGATTTTTGTATGTTTATCTTGTATCCTGTGACCTTGCTAAACCTTACTTATTAATTCTAAGAGTGTTTTGGTAGATTCCTTGGGATTTTCTGTATAGACCGTCATATCATCTGTAAATAGGGACACTTTTATTTCTTCCTTTCTGATCTTTATGCCTTTTGTTTCCTTTTCTTACCTATTGCACTGGCTAGAAATTCAGCACTATCTTGAATAAAAGTGAGAGCAGATATCCTTATCTTGTTTTTGATATTAGGGGGAATGTATTCAGCATTTCACCATCATATATAAAGTTAACTAGGTTTTTTGTAGATATTCTTTATCAAATTGAGGAAGCTCCCCTCCATTTTTGTTTTTCTCAGAATTTTTATCATAAGTGGGTGTTGATGTTTCTTAATGTTTCTTCTGCAGTGATTGCTATGATCACATGATTTTTCTCATTGAACAAAAGGTGGGTTACATTGATTGATTTTCAAATTTTAAACTAGTCTTGTGTCCCTGGAATAAACCTCATTTGATCATGATATATAATTCTTTTTATATATTGCTGGATTACATTTGCTACTATTTTGTTTGGAAATTTTGCATCTGTGTTCATGATATTGGTCTGTAGTTTTCTTTTTTTTTTT